CCAAAGGATATGCTCAAAAGGAGGGAATTGATTACAATGAAGTATTTTCTCCAGTTGTAAAACAATCCTCCATTAGAATTGTGTTGGCTTTGGTAGCACAGTTGGATTTGGAACTAGTTCAGATGGATGTAAAAACTGCGTTTTTACATGAAAACTTGGAGGAGGAAATCTACATGACTCAGCCAGAAAGATTCAAAGTCGCGGGAAAGGAAAATATGGTGTGCAAACTTGAAAAATCGTTGTACGGATTGAAACAATCTTCTAGACAATGGTACAAAAGATTTGACAAGTTTATGTTGCGGCAAGGGTACAAGAGAAGCAAGTACGATCATTGTGTGTATTTGCACAAGCTTAAAGATGGATTCTTTATATATCTTCTCCTATATGTTGATGATATGTTGATAGCTTCCAAGAATTCAGAAGAAATTGATAAGTTGAAGATTCAACTGAAGAAGGAGTTCGAGATGAAGGATTTGGGTGAGGCACGGAAAATTCTTGGCATGGAGATAATAAGAGATAGACGTTCAAAGAAACTCTGTTTATCTCAGAAAGAATATTTAAAAAGAGTACTACAACGTTTTCGCATAGATGAAAAGACTAAGCCCAGTTAGTACTCCACTTGCTCCCCATTTTAAGCTAAGTACTACTATGTCGCCAAAAGATGAAGCTGAACGAGAGTACATGTCAAAGGTACCATACGCAAATGTTGTTGGTAGCTTGATGTATGCAATGGTCTGTACGAGACCTGACATTTCACAAGTTGTTGGAGTTATTAGCAGATATATGCATAATCCAGGAAATGAGCATTGACAAGCTGTGAAGTGGATTCTACGGTATCTTCATAACACTGTAGATGTTGGGTTAGTTTTTGAGTAGGAAGACAATCAGTCTGTAGTTGGATATTGTGACTCGTATTTTGCGGGTGATCTGGACAAAACGAAGATCAACTACTGGTTATGTGTTTACTTTTGCAAAGGCACCAGTTAGTTGGAAGTCTACTTTGCAGTCAACAGTTGCTTTGTCTCCAACAAAGGCAGAGTACATGGCTATTACAGAGGCTGTGAAAGAGGCAATTTGGCTTCAGGGGTTGCTAAAAGAGCTTGGTATTGGGCATAAAAGTATCATAATTTTTTGTGATAGTCAAAGTGCTATTCAATTAGCGAAGAACCAAGTTTATCATGCAAGGACGAAGCACATTGATGTTCGGTATCATTTCGTACGAGAAATCATAGAAGAAGGTGGAGTCACGGTGAAGAAAATTCATACTACGAAGAATCCTGCTGATATGCTGACAAAGGTGGTGACTGCGGTCAAGTTTCAACATTGTTTGGATTTGATCAACATTGTTGCACACTGAATATTGAAGATGAAGACACAACCAAAATTTGTTATTGAGAGAAAATTGAAGATGTAGAATTTTGCCAAGGTGGAAATTTGTTGAAATTGTCAAATATCCCACATCGGTGGTTGACACTTTTGTTTGGGATTTTTTCCCTATAAAAGGAGGCCTAATGTTTAGGATTTAAACACACCTTTCATTTGTCTTCTTATCTTCTTAAGGCATTTGTATCTTCTCTCTTTAGTATTATTTCACTTGTATTTTTGGATTGGAATAAAATATTGGTTGTGTCCGAGGAAGTAGGCAACATTGGCCGAACCTCGTAAATTTTGGTGTTCCTTTTATTGTTGCTTTATTGTCTTATTTATTATTTGGTGGTTGTCATAATTTTTGGTATAGTAGTTGTGACTCATTCACACTATATACATTTGGCTTCCGCAACAACTTCAAGTTTCAACTCCTAGAAGGTTTGAATAGCCAACTTTTTTTAACTTTGAGGATTCAAAATTCAAACCACTTATGTCGCACTTTCGAAGAACCCGCGATAGAGTTCAAAATTTATAATTCGAAAATCCTCAAATCTAACAAAAAAAAATCAGTAAGTAACTCGAATTTCAGTCCCGCTTTGATTTTTGGACATTATAAATTAGTACCACGGTTTCCTTCGATAACCTAAATCGTTCTTCAAAACCCAACAACTAAATTTTCGTTCTTCACCTTCAATCCTTTTCATAAGTAAGGATATTGAACAATGACTTGAGAGTGAGCTCAAATAAGGACTAATGGAAGTCTGGCCTTCAATATGAAGAACAAAGAAAAATGAAAACGAAGAAATAATTAGAAAGTTAAATGTTGAACAAATACGAGGGGTCCTAGGACTCTCACAAAGTTAAATGATACATCTCACAATTAGCTACAACCCCACCAATGAGATAATTATGTATTTCCCATTTGTTTTGAGGATTTTGCAAATTACTTTTGAGGATTCAGAGCAACATCTGCCTACATTTCATGAAAGTCTGGAACCCAAACAATATGTTAAAGGCAGGCCAAAAGACCAAACTTATAGATGTCAATAGGGATGGCAAGCGGTGTGGTGCGGGGCGGGTGTCGGACGGATTTTCTCTTAACCCGTAAAATTTCAACCCGCCCCGTCCCTTCCC